CTCCCAGAGCCGGGGAGAGAACCCAGGAGTCCTGGCTCCCAGCCCCCCCTGCTCCAACCACACGACCCCACTCCCCTCCCAGAGCCGGGGAGAGAACCCAGGAGTCCTGGCTCCCAGCCCCCCCTGCTCCAACCACACGACCCCACTCCCCTCCCAGAGCCGGGGAGAGAGAACCCAGGAGTCCTGGCTCCCAGCCTCCCACACCGCGTTCTAACCACCAGCCCCCACTCCCCTCCCAGAGCCGGGGAGAGAACCCAGGAGTCCTGGCTCCTAGACCTCACCCCACCCCCACCTTAACCACTAGACCCCATTCTCCTTCCAGAGCTGGGGAGGGGAGTGGGTTCCAATGGGTTAGAACATGGGGAGGGGGGTTGGAGCCAGGACTCCTGGGTTCTCTCCCCAGTGCTGTGATCTCGAAGCATTGTGTCCTCTTGAGTGAAAATCCACCTATCTCAAGTGCCCAAAGGCTCAGTCCTGACTCCCGATTTGCTGCCCCCCACATGTGGGGCACTAGACTTAGCAGGGAAAACGCGGCCCAGGGCAGCGCCCGTCACACGAAGCGTGGTAGAGCCCTGCACGGATACAAAATTTGTATCTGCGTCCGATCCGTGGTCCGAGGCTATTGGCAGGTTTGCGGGGCTCCAGGTACAGGGGCACACAGGTATCTAGGCAGGGAGCGTGGGACGTGCTGGCACCAGCAATCCCCTGGCAGCCTCAGCAGAGAGTGGCTGGACATGACTCCTGTTACCACTGCACCTGCGTCCCCCGGAGCGCGGTGTGCACTACAGCCACCGTCGAGATGCAGCCACCTCTGGGGTGGGGCGTGGAGACTGTTTATACAGGGATCCCTCGCCCGGTGCTGAGATGCAGCTGTCAGAGTTTCTGCCATCGGTGCAGCGAGGGCCTGAGCTGAGGCCCCGACCTCGCTCCACAGAGGGTCAGGCAAGCCCAGCAGGAAGACGGGGTGACTGGGGTGTTACCCTGTGGGGTGGGACAGGACGGGGCCCAAGGCTGGAGGAAGGGGCCCAGCAGTGTGGGTTGCTCACAGCACACACAGCTCCGGCACAGCGGGTAACGAGTCAGGCCCGTGCACTCCCAAATGGCTTTTAGACCCTCCAAGGCAGGGTTGGGGGGGATCCTGGATGCCCCATCTTTACTCCCCCCACTTTCACTTTCAGAATCACATGACCACCAGCGTTCAGGGCAGGGCCTGTCCCACAAAGTCCGGCCGCCTCCGTTCTGCAGGCCCATTAAAATCCTCCTGCTCTGCTCTGCACTGAGGGGAGAGGGCTGTAAAACAGACCCTCCACTGCAGGCCGGGGCACCCCAGATTAGCCCCCCACCCTGCCCCTCAGGAAGACCCCCCCCCCATGGGATCTCAGGCTCCCTGGCCCACTTGGCCCTCACCAGAGTGAGCTGAGACCCTGCAAACTCATTTCACGGGGGCTCCAGACAGGAGCAAGGCCAGTGATGGGAGCTGACGCCCCTGCCCCATTCCCCACCCCCCTGAGCCAGCCAGTCCCCGCCCTGGGGCCGGTGCCCCCCAGAAGTGACAGGCCCCTGCCCCATTTCCGCCCCCCTGAGCCAGCCAGTCCCCTCCCTGGGGCCGGTGGGAGCCGGCACCCCCCAGAGGGGACAGGCCCCATGACCTATTCCCCGGTAATTTGAGCCCCTCCAGTGAAGGGGGGGGGGGCAGAGCAAGGGATCCTGGGACCGCCTGGCTGCAGGGCCACGTTCCCTGTCCGGGTACAAAGTCCCCTTCCAGGTGCATCTCCGCGGGGAGGGTGAAGGGCAGCACCACCTGCACCCCGTCTTGTTATGATTTCATAGCAACCAGGAGCTGGGGGGGCCCG